AGTTGGAAGCAGGAATTCCAGCCACCCCCTGGTACTGTCAGTGCCCTGCGAGGAACAACTGTGTGTGTGAAATCCAAAACCAGCCACTCATGTTTTCACGTGGCTTTTCCTTGAGCAAATAAACCTGGGGCTGTTTAAGGTTGAAAATCCCACTTCCTGCTGGTTGAAGGCTTGAAACTGGGGAAATCCAAGCCATCCTCATTGAAAACCAGCACCTTTGGGCACCCAGATCTTGTCCCCAAGCTTGGCAGCCCTAAACCAGAGTGCAGCAGCTGAGCATAGATTCATCCAGGGTGGAAAAGCCCTTTCAGCTCATCCAGTCCAACCATTCCCAGCACTGCCCAGGCCACCCCTAACCCATGGCGCTGAGGCCTCGTCTCCACGCTGTGTGAACACTTGCAGGGACGGTGACTGCAGCCCTGCCCTGGGCAGCCTGTTCCAATGCCTGAGCACCCTCTGGGGCAGGAATTGTTCCTCAGCTCCATCTAAACCTGCCCTGGGGCAGCTTGATGGGTAAAGACAGTGCAAAGACGTGGTGTTCTGTAGCGAGGTGACAAGCGCAGGTACAGGTCGTGAAGCAGCATCGTGCTTTGTGGCTTATAGGAAAAGGTGAGTTCCTTCCAACCCTGGTTTTGCAGCACTGCAGAAATGATCCTGCTGCCTCATACCTGCTCCAGACCCTTTCCCAAGCCCAAGTTACAGTCTTGGGGCTGCATCAGCACCAGCCTGGGGCAGTGATGCTGTGAGTGGCTCTGGGAGCTGTCTTGTGAAAAGCTTTGCCAGGGGTTGGTGACTGAGGCTTCCACCAAAATGGGTTGGTACCAGCCTGAAACTGCAGCCCCCTTTGCTGTAACTGGTGTTGCTCCTGCAAAACTGCTTTACACCCATTAACCGAAGCCTGGGGATGCTGGTGGGCTTTCGGTGGTGGGACACGTGAGTGCTGGTTGCCAACGTCTCCAGAAACACTGCCTGGGAAGTTCTGCTTCCAGAAAACATCACCAGCTCCTTGGCAAAACCCAAGTGTTTGGTGAGGTGAGAGACAGAGGAGAAGGAAGTGAGAAGTTCGAGTGGGTAAATGAGCAGTGACAGCAGGCTTGGGAGAGCCTGACTAGGAGAAGGGGCTGGAGGTTACCCAGCACCCAGCCAAGCTGCAGCCTGGGGCTGGACCACAGCAGCAAGGTGCAGTGAAGCACCAGACCACATCCTTCTTTCCGCCTAGGGGCGAGGAAAGCCAGATCCTTTTTGGGGTGAAACCCAGCAGGGTCAGTGTAAGACCTGCCCAGGCCTGAGGGCAGGTTTGGTGGGAATGCTGACCCTTCCTAGGTAGCTGTCCCGTCCTGTCCCTGTGCAGCTCTTGGAATAGGCACCCATGGATGTGTTTTTCCTAACAAGGATGTCCTAACTTATCCTAACAAGACATTCCCATGTTTTCTTGCTATGGAAACAGCCCTGAGGGCTCCGGAGCATCCCTCACTTCAGCCTGTGTGGTTTGTTTTGCTGGAGCAGGTGATGGTTGGTGACCCCAGTGCTCCCATCACTTGCTTTTCCTGCTATGAGTAAGGATCCTGCTGGACTTGGATGAGGATTTCCCGTTTGGGAAGCTGCCAAAAGCCCTCAAGCCTCCTTGTGCTGAGTAACAGGGCTCCAGAGGCATCTTGGAGGGTGCAAATCAAGGGTCACCTTTGGAAGGATGGACTGCAACGATAAGCTCTTTCCATGCTCCCAGGAAGCCCTTGTGTCCTTCCTGGCACGATGTATCTCTTCCCTGCAGTAAACAGAGGCAGGAGGGCTGTAAACCTGCTGCTTTCCTGGAACACGGACCCATCCCTTTGGGTAAACAGCTGAGTAACTGCTGCTTGTGCAGGGTATTGTTGTGGGGAGGGAGAGCACGCAGCAGTCTCATGGAGACTGTCACCATGGCTGGGGTCCAGGGTGGTGGCACACGCAGGTGGGTGCCCCATAGGGCCTTCTCCAAAGGTCTGCAGGTTCTTCATTCCCTGGAGGTCCCCATTTGCGCTTCATCAGCCCCTGGTCCAGTGGTGTTTGGGTCAGGGTGATGCACAGCAGCAAACTGGATGCTGGAGAGGGCCTCTTCATCAGGGACTGTAGTGACAGGACAAGGGGTGATGGGTTCAGACTGAAACAGGGCAAGTTCAGGTTGGATCTAAGGCAGAAGCTCTTCCCTGTGAGGGTGCTGAGGCGCTGGCACAGGGTGCCCAGAGAAGCTGTGGCTGCCCCATCCCTGGCAGTGTTCAAGGCCAGGTTGGACACAGGGCCTTGGAGCAAGCTGCTCTATGGAAGGTGTCCCTGGCCGTGGCAGGGGTTGGAGCTGGAGAAGCTTTAAGGTCCCTTCCAACCCAACCCAGTCTGGGATTCTACTGTTCTATGAACTGAGAACACTCATGCAGCGTGCATGAGGACAGCACCTAAAATCAGTCCCAGGGCTGGACAAAAAGAGAGTTGGATTTGGTGGCTGGTGCCTGTCACCCTCTTGGGTCAGAGGAACTGGGCTGAGAGGTTTCCACCGAGGCCACGTTGGCTGTGCTGTCTGTCCAAAGCGTGGCTGTTGCCACAGCACCACCGTTGTGGTTCACATCTGAACCTCCACCTACCTTTGTGGCCAGGAAGGGACCTCTGTGGTGCACTGAAAGCACAAGTGCCTCCAGCAGCAGTTGGGTTGGCCATGGCTTTGGCTAGCCACATCTTGAAGCCCACCAAGGATGGTGACCCCTCTGGACACCCGTTTGAGGTTGTCTCACCCTCCTGCATAGGAGGCTTTTCCTGATGTCCAGCCTCAGCCTGGAGCCTGTCTGCCTGGCTCCCAAGGGATCTGGGTGATCTGACTCCTGCCTTCTCCCGAGCTCACTGTAACCCTCACAGCTCTGTGCAGGGAACGCCGCTCCCTTGCGTTTTCCCGTCTTTTGGAGCAAGTTCCTGTAAATAAACTGGTTTTCCCCTACTTCCGTGTCCTTTCAGTTCTGCTTTTCCAGCGTTGCTGGCCTGAAATGGCAGCCTCACATTGTGTGCTCCCTCCCCATGGCCCCGTTTCGAGTTCACTTTCTCATTCCCACCCAGTGCTGGAAATGGGCTTTTGCTTTGTCCCAGGGCTCTTGCAAACATCTTTTTGTTGTGTTTCTCTCCTATTAGGATCAAGCATGCCCCAAATCCCAGAAGGGATCTAAACTGGATCAAGGACTAGATCCAGAATTACAGTTCAGGTCAAGATATTTCCTGGCATCACTTTGGGATCCCATCTTCAGGCTGTGTCCATAAACACTACTACAAGAGGAAAAGCTGACACTGATTCCCAGTTTAATCCTGAGAAGTCCTCCATGAGCAGGGTCAGTGTTTGGACTCAGACTTGGATGCTCTTCAGTAGCAAGATCTCCAAACGGGAGGTGACCAAACTGTGCCCCATAGCCAGAGTGGGTTTGGCTTTTCATTTTATGGATGTTACAGAGGAAAAACCCAATAACACTGACTGTGAATCTCCTCATGGACGGGAATCGACCTGCTCATGGAAGGACGTGCTCATGTGTGAGATAGCCCGGAGCTCCTCATGGTTTAATTATTTATCAGGGGTAGATGGCGATGCTGAAGAACAAAGCCAGGGAATTCCTGATCAATAGCAGGCTCTGACTCATCGGTGGAGGCTCAGGAGAAGTGCAGGGGGATGAACTGGATCCCTCGCAGTTACAGGACATTACGGCACGGAAAGTTTGTAGAAAACCAAAGAAAAGTCATGCCGGACAGTTTCAAACCGTTACCAGACCGTTCTTATCCAGGGGGAGCTGGATAAAAGGGCAACATCGTCCTGAGTGGGAACGAGAGAAAATGCAGCAGTGCTGAAGAGGGAATCCTGCCGCGGGGCTTCCCATGCGCGTCCAGCACCGTCCCGCAAGGTGCAGTGCAACGTATTGCCATCAGATGGCAAAATAGCAATGGGGATGGTGGGACACGGTCACGGCGTGCAGGGGGGCGGCTGTGGGGCCAAATGGATCTGTGGTGTAAGAAGGGTGTAAAGATTTGCTTAGCCCAGGGGCAGATGCTGAGTTGTACAGCCTGAGAGATGCTCTGTCCCCGGGCAAGGCGGAATGGGAGCTATGGGGGTGCAATAGATCCAGGTCCTGTTTCACAGTTTAAGGTGGGCGCATGGGGCTGTCCGAAGGACCCCAGGAAGGGTTCCAAAGATGTAGTTCAGTCATAGACTCACAGAGTCACAGCCTGGTTTGTACTGAAGGGACCTTAAAGCTCCTCCAGCTCCAACCGCTGCCATGGGCAGGGACCCCTTCCATAGAGCAGCTTGCTCCAAGCCCCTGTGTCCAACCTGACCTTGAACACTGCTAGGGATGGGGCAGTCACAGCTTCTCTGGGCACCCTGTGCCAGCGCCTCAGCACCCTCACAGGGAAGAGCTTTTGCCTAAGAGCTCATCTCAGTCTCTCCTGGGGCAGGTTAAAGCCATTCCCCTTGGCCTGTCCCTACATCCCTTGTCCCAAGCCCCTCTCCAGCTTTCCTGCAGCCCCTTCAGGCACTGGAGCTGCTCTGAGGTCTCCCCTTCAGGAGCCTTCTCTTGTCCGGGCTGCCCCAGCCCAGCTCTCTCAGCCTGGCTCCAGAGCAGAGCTGCTCCAGCCCTCGCAGCATCTCCATGGCCTCCTCTGGCCTCACTCCAGCAGCTCTGTGTCTTTCCTGTGCTGAGGACTCCAGAGCTGGATCAGGACTGCAAAGGGGGTATCACCAGAGCAGAGCAGAGGGGAAGAATCACCTCCCTTGACACCATGCACTGTGCAGGGCAACAACCTGATAGCACCGTGCCCCAGAGCATCCATGGTTCCATAACAACCCCCAGCATCCTCTTCCCTGGAAGCTCCTGGGATATAAGTGGGGCAATCTGCTCGCTGCACTGAAACCCCATTTATCTGACAAACATATGGCTTCTCCTTACAAACACAACCCAGAAACCCCCATAAATGGCATTACAGTCATTAAATAACCAAACCCCGTGGCTTAGGAGGCTGGTTTCAGAGGCCAGTGCTTACATCAGGTGACAGGTGATTTTTATGCTGTTTTGCTGCTGATTGTCATAAGGAAATTGCTTTCTCCTCCAGCGAAACTCACACCCACGAGGGAGGAGATAGCGGGATCCCAGGCGGAAGCATTGGCCGCTCTCCTACCTGAATGGCTGCTAAAAATAGGACTTAGTCAGCCACCAGCCATGGGTATAAAAAGGCACCCCCGAGGAGAGCCTGACGACCCTTAGTGCCCGTGGCCGAGGAGCTTGTCTTGACCTATGTCCAGAGGGGCAGAAACACTGATGGAAAGGTAAATACTGAAAGAGCGAACCAAGAAACTGGTGTGGCCGATGGACTGGAATGAGTCCAAGGAGGAAGGGGGTGGTTGTTTTGCTGTGATTAAATCTGGCTCAATGACTTCTTGTTCGGTGGATGGGTGGCTTTGGTGTTGGCTTGGATGAAGGAAATGTGTCTTCTTGATCCAAAACCAGGCCAAGCTGGGGTGGGTGGGTGTGCTCATGTAGAGTGAGCAGAGGCTGTGAGGTGAGGGATCCCTGCTTGGAACTAGTTGATCTTAAGGTCCTTCTATGATCTGTGATGCTGGGCTCCAGGGTGGTTTGAACAGCTGAGTGTGCTGGGTTTGTACTGTTCAGTGGTGCAGAATGTCTGGGTTGGGTCTGGGTCTCTGAAGAGTGAAACTGGGTTTGGAATTAGTGCCAGCACAAGGCACAGCTCTGGTTTTTCAATAGCAGCATCTTCTGCGATAGAAAAGCCAGGGCTGGGTGCTCCGAGCTCCATTCACAGCCCTGTGAGAGCTCCCAGAGGGGCTGTGTCATTGCAGGGTGCTGGGCCAATATTGACAGTATTGACTGAGGAGATTTCATAGAATCATAAAATGAAACAGGTTGGGAAAGCCCTTTCAGCTCCTCCAGTCCAACCATTCCCAGCACTGCCAAGGCCACCCCTAACCCATGGCACTGAGGCCTCGTCTCCACGCTGTGTGAACACTTGCAGGGACGGTGACTGCAGCCCTGCCCTGGGCAGCCTGTTCCAATGCCTGAGCACCCTCTGGGGCAGGAATTGTTCCTCAGCTCCATCTAAACCTGCCCTGGGGCAGCTTGAGGCCGTTTCCTCTTGTCCCATCCCTTGTTCCTTGGGAGCAGAGCCCAGCCCCTCCTGGCTCCATCCTCCTCTCAGGCACTTGTAGGCAGCCATCAGGTCCCCCTGAGCCTTCTCTTCTCCAGCCTGAACCCCCCAGGTCCCTCAGCCCTTCCCCATCACACTTTCAATATTTGCAAGGGCCCACATTGCCCTTGGCCTCTCCAAGGGCTGGGAGCACCCAGCCTTGATGGGGAATGTGCAGAAATTGAGGAGAGTCAATACTTTAAGGGCAGATAGTAAAAATCCCTGGGTTGTGTGATTCACTCATAAGATGTTGTGCTCGTATGTGATTTCTCATTGTTATATGGGAAGTCAGAGTACCACAGTGTCTGGATTCTATTTAATCCACCCTTGCTGTATTAAATGCACTGGAAGTAAACCAGGCTCTCTCAGTAAGACATGCCCACATCTCCCCTCCCCTCCCCGCAGTTTCGCTTCCTCTATCATCGGTGCCTACAGCCCATCATAAAACCCCACTCATGCCACCTACACAAGGAGCGTTCCCATAACTATAAAAAGGGTTGATCATTTACTGGGAACATAAACAGCCTATCCTTGCGTGCCAAGCGGGAATGGTTCCCCCCATGCCCAGCCTGACTGCGCAGTGTCTGGGCGAATGCAGCCCTTAGGCTGAGCTCTTGCTCCTCTCTGCAGCAGCATGCAGGCTCTGGCTGCGGAGAAGCCTCGCTGGGATGTGGCAAGGCAGCCGGCAGGCAAGATCCTCTCACTGGACAGGCAAGGGGCCAAGAAGGTGCTGGAGATCTACGTCAAGCGCTCCCTGAGCTGCCGTGAGAACCCAAAGAAACCACTGCAGGCGAGAGGTGGCGGGCGCGGGAGGAAGGCAGGTGAGCTACAGCGGTCAAAGAGCGACTTCTGCAAGTATTCATGTGCCAGACACAGCCCCAGGAAGGAGCAGGAGGATGGACCCAAAGCACTGGACCTGGATGAGGCATTGGATGATGACAGCGAAGCTCCTGGGGAGGTCTCTAAAGAGGAGCTGGAGCCCAAGAGGAAAAGCACAAAAACCTCTTCCCAAGGCAAAACCCAACGCACCTGGTTCAAAACTGTCTTAAATTTCCTCTTCAAGAAGAGCCCCGAGGACCAGAAGGAAAACATGGGGCAAAAAGCAAAGGAGAAAGATGCCAAAGCTCCTCACACCTCCAAATCAGAAGGGGTGAAAAGAGCCACAGGGCACTCCAGCACGTCCCCGTCGCCAGGCAGAGCCTCCAAGAGGAGAGCCAGCCTCAAGAAGGTTTTCTCCTTCAAGAAGCACACGGAGGAGGAGAAGGGAGAGACAGCAGCAGGGGCAAGGGCCAAGAGACCCAGCTGCCTTCCCCTGCGGCACGTCCAGGCTCCGGCCACAGCAGGTAGGACCACACCACCCCTAGCCCGGACCCTAAACCAACCCTACTGCCAAAGGGACCTCTGTTGGTCTTCTTTGGGTTAAACTTCCACAGTGTTTAGAGATGTTTTCTAACCTAAGCATCACCATCCTGGTGCTTGATGAGGTTTGGGATAGGTTTTGAGGACTCCAGTCTCAACCTGCTACCCCAGGAATGGATCAAGCTGTCGGTGCTTTGAGCACACAGCATTGCTGCAACTTACGCATGCAGCAAGTTCCTCCCAGCCAGATGCTTGGCAGCAGCTATCCAAGCGCAGGTTTCCCCCCTCTGACATGGTGGTTTAGTTTAAACCGTATTTGAGACCTGCAGTTGAAGCTTAAGCTGCTCCAGGGCCAATGTTAAGCTACTTTTGATTTGCTATGGGGAAGGGTGCTGGCGGAAGGGTGCAGGGCACCCTGTAGCTTCACTGCAGCCCTTTCCCAGTAAGAAAGCAGTGAGATGATTTCTTCAAAGCTTTGGTGGATGTGAGAACGTTGAAGCCACTTGGTTACAGTTCAGAGAGCTCAGCCCCATTGTTCACCAGCACCGTGCACTGATCCAGGGTGGGCATGGGCACCATGTGGATGCAGCCAACGCTGCGGCTGCTTTTCCCTTCCAACCCATGGCGAGCAAAGACAACCTTGATTCTGAAGCTGTGTTCTTCTTGCAGCAGATGAGGAGCAGCCTGATGGTTACTATGCACGAGTCTCAGATGAGATAGGGCTGATCGTGCAGGGCAGTGAGAGCCAGGGGAGCAGAGCACGTGGATGTGAGGAGCCATCACGGCCGGCCAGCGCCGATGGGGTCGGTGAGTGTTGCCCTTGGAAGCTCTTCAGAGCCTTCATGGGACCCAAACCCTGCTTCAGTCCTGACCTTGGGGCTTACATGACCACTATGAAGACTGGGGGAGATTTTCAGCATCAGGGCTTGATTTGGGGAGAGTGGAATTTGAAGTCACAAGGGTGTTTTTGCTGGTTGAGGTTAAAAAGTCACTTGGCAATAGGCTGAGACGGGATTTGGAGGGATGGAGGTGGATACACATTGCTCAGGGGATTTTTCCTGGGGGCTAAACAGAGCATTGGGTGTGAGGTTTGGAGAAAGGGCTGGAGATAACGTGGGATCTCTCTCTGCAGATGCAGCCATCTGGAGAATCGTGGCCCTGCTCCGGAGTGCAGGAGATGAGCTGGACAGGCAGGTGAGAGGAGAGCTGTGCTCAGCTGGATGGGTCGAGGGGACGTGGGCAACGCACCACCATTGATTTCCCTGGTGTAGAGAAACAGTAAAGTCAAGGAAATGGCATCTTCTAATTCCCCGACTGGGTGTGATCGTGTCTGTCTGTCTGTCAGTCCTAACGTGGAGTGAAGGCATCAACACAAGGATGACACACCGAGTTATTCACGTGTATTCACTTGCTTCTTAACCAGGTGAAGGAAGACGCGCGGCTACGGACGTTCTTCAGAGACATGTCCTACAGCTCCTTCAAGAACCTGGCCGATGTCTACGTCCATAAGGAAATGACGACCAGCAGATCCGATGTCAACCCCCAAGAGATCCAGTTTGCCTTCACAGTGCACCTCACCGCCAAGGTGGCGGGCATCTGCAACCAGGCAGTGAACAGGATCATGGGCTTTGGCACCCGCTACCTGGAGGATTCCTTTGCACCCTTGTCCTACAGCAGAATTCTCCAGGTAGGGATGAGGATGGAGTCTGCGGCTGAGCTTCCAGCACAGGCTTAGGGCAAGAGGTGTAATTTTAGGGTGACTGACAGACCTGGGTCATGCTGGATTGTATGGGGAGGTGATGGGTGCTGGACCTTGTCCCGTGCTGTTTGGGCTGACTTTACCTTCTCCAACATGAGCACGGCCCACGCGCACACAAGGGCTTGCTTGATGCATGAGGCAGCCAGGAGATGCTCCGCAGTGCTTGGCATTGCTGCAACCTGGTGTAACCGCAGCTTCAACAAGGAGAATTTCCTCCTCGATGCATCTAGCAGGCCAATCGCACCAGCTCAGGTTGGGAAGGGGCCTCACCAGTGCTTCCTTCTGTCTCTGCAGAACAGAGAAGAGCTCAGCAGAGACGTCTGCGAGAGCCCGGACTGATGTGGGCTGCTCCGGAGAGCCGGTGGTGCCTGGGAAGGATGTGGAGTTACCGAGGGAGGTCACTGCATCCTGCTGGTGACCTGGATTTGGGGTGATTTTCCAGAGCTGTGGATTTAAAAGCTTCTAAGGAAAAGCCCAGCAATAGCCACAGCAGTGTGAAATGCTTAAACCTCACCTGGCTGGGGGCAGAGTGACTGTAAATCAAGGAAAGCCCAAATTGCACCCTGTATTTGCATTGCAGCTGTCACCAAGTGCGTGTGTTCAACCTCTTGGTTGGTTTGTGTCTGTTTATGTGTATTTATTTGCCTGCTTTTCTATATGTACCTGGGAATGTACAACATAATTTTTGTAGCTTCTGCTCTCAGCCCAGCTTCCAGTTCTGGAAAGAAACCCTAAAACTCCAATAAAATGATCCCTGAATGACAGCCAGGCTTGATTAATGGGTGATGTGTACAGCCATTATACATGGGATAACGTTTGTTTTGCTACAGCTGCTCCTTCCAGTGGCACAAAGGGAGTCTTACAGCAGATACGTTCTCTGATCCTGCCACTTTTTACTATTTATAGCCATTCCCTTCCCAGCAGCAGGAGATTTATTCACCAAAGCAGCTTGATGTGACACCAAGAACTGCGCAAAGCTTGCTCCCGAGTGGTGCAGGAGCTGCCCTCCCTTTGGCTCCCTCCGGGACCGAGGGGATTTAGGGCTGTTGCGGTCTCACCTACAAGGTCTAAGAAGATGTGAAATGTCAAAGTGATTAAAGCCTAATCTCTGGGAGTGTTCCCATCTGATCTCTGCCCAGACCCCTAAGCAGGGCAATGGATTAAGGTGGCTCGGGGCTGGGGGGGATTGACAGTGCTCAGTGCGGTGGCACCAACAGGAGCATCTCCTTTGCCAGGGTTGGACCCAGCCTGGGGTAAAGGGGTCAAAATCTGGAGGCTTGCAGTGCAGGAGAGGTGGGTTGGAGGAGATGATGGAGGCAGGATGCAGTGGGTTGGAGGAGATGATGGAGGCAGGATGCAGTGGGTTGGAGGAGATGATGGAGGCAGGATGCAGTGGGTTGGAGGAGATGATGGTGATGCATCAACTGTTGGTCTGGTTCAGTCTGGTCATGGGGTGACAGTGCAACATGGGCCACCAGTGCCAGCCCAGTGCTTCCTCTTCTGGGGAACCTGAACTTCTTGGTCCTTTTAAAACCCTAAGTAAAGCAAAACGGGGAAGCAGACCCCTCAAAGGAAGGAAGTAGCCCTTCTCCACACAGATCAACGTCCCCGTTTGCAAAGCCTTTAAGGAATGTTTCGTAGAACCAAAGAGTTGAATCACTGAAAAGCCCCAAGGAGGGGGAACATGTTGCAGAGGCTCCAACTAATCTAACCTAGGGTACTTAGGTCTGTGGAAGCCACCAGATCCCACTCCTGGGTCCTGCCCAGTGATGCCAGCACCAAGCACAGTGCCAGCACCAAGCACCGTGCCAGCACCAAGCACCGTGCCAGCACCAAGCACCGTGCCAGCACTGTGTTTCCTTTTGGCTGGGAACCAAAGTGGGAGACTTTTACTGCAGGAGAAACCAAAACTGCTCTCACTTGTTTGCAACCATCACCATCTTCCTGTCCCATGCCCGGAGCCCGGGACACTGCTGGGGCTGTGACTGGGGCTGGTGCTTGGGAGGCGGTGGGGACCTGGCAGGAGGATCATGTGATGCTCCTGTTTGTTTTGCACCTGAGCTCATGTGGTGCCACTTGTAGGCTGGGATTTGCATGGAGGAGAAAAGGGTTTTGTCTCCTTGATGACTTCCTGGAGGACATCATCTGCCCTTGGCATGCAGGATAACACCGGTGAGGAAAACAGCTCATCTCTGCTGTTCCCTTCCTCCTATCAGGGCTGAACCAAATATCCCTCTGTGGTCACTGAACCTTTTCCCACCCATCAGGTCAATGGTGCTGAGGAAATAGAACAAAACCTGCACAGCCCCTTGCACACAGTGCTCCTGGTCCCAGATAACCCAGCCCAAAGGCGGGATGCTGCTCCAGCCTGGTGGGCTGTCCTCAGGAGCTGCTGTTACTGCAGCACCCTAGGGCTGTTGGATCTGGGAGCCCAGGTCCCTTCTCGTGGGCAACTCCAGCATCTTGGCTTAATGTCTTGATCATAAAATTGAGAACCATGATTGCCTGTGGCCCCTGCAGATACTAAGAGTGTATTAAGGAAGGGCAAATTATTAGCCCCTGGGGTTTGACTGGTTTCCAGCTCATGGTATTACCTTCATCCTCTCCTCTGTGGCTTCAAACCACCAAGACAATCTCTTCACCCGACAATGCATGGGATCACGGACACCAGCCATCTGGGCACTGATCCTGCTGGGGAAAGCACAGCCTCACACCCCACACAGCCCCCTGCCTGCCTGGTGCCCAAGGGGAGCCAGGGGGTCTCCTGAAAGCATCTCCGGCTGCTTCTGGGACCTTGTGTAATTAGTCCCTGTTAATCCCATTTTCCCGAGTGCCAGGAGGGGGAGGGTGGCATAGAAACCAGCGCTTAATGAGCCAGTTAATGCCCAATTCCCTGTCGCTGGGAGGATGATGACACGGTTTCATCTCACTGGAGCGTGGCACTGGGCCAGGGAGGATGCTGCCTCCTGGGATGCTGCAGCACGTGAGGGTGCAGGGCACAGTTTTTACTCCCCATCCCTGCCTTGAGGAGCAGTTGTAATTCATCACGGGACAGGGTGATTTGTGTGCTGAGTGATGGAGCTGAACACGAGCAGCTTGTGCCCAGGCAGCCAGGAAGCCCCCAGCATCCTGGCCTGTACCAGCACCAGTGCGGCAGCAGGGCCAGGGCAGGGATTGTGCCCCTGTGCTGGGCACTGGTGAGGCCGCACCTCGGATCCTGTGTTCAGCTCTGGGCCCCTCACTGCAGGAGAGACATTGAGGTGCTGGAGCGGGGCCAGAGAAGGGCAGTGGAGCTGGTGCAGGGCCAGGAGCACAAGTGTGATGGGGAAGGGCTGAGGGACCTGGGGGGTTCAGGCTGGAGAAGAGAAGGCTCAGGGGGGACCTGATGGCTGCCTACAAGTGCCTGAGAGGAGGATGGAGCCAGGAGGGGCTGGGCTCTGCTCCCAAGGAACAAGGGATGGGACAAGAGGAAACGGCCTCAAGCTGCCCCAGGGCAGGTTTAGATGGAGCTGAGGAACAATTCCTGCCCCAGAGGGTGCTCAGGCATTGGAACAGGCTGCCCAGGGCAGGGCTGCAGTCACCGTCCCTGCAAGTGTTCACACAGCGTGGAGACGAGGCCTCAGTGCCATGGGTTAGGGGTGGCCTTGGCAGTGCTGGGAATGGTTGGACTGGATGAGCTTAAAGGGCTTTTCCAACCTGGTTGATTCCATGAGTCTACAATTCGATGCTGTGATGTGGCTGTGCAGCCCCTCAGATGAAGACCCCAAAGTATGCCCTCGAAGCCTGGCTGCTCTTGGGCTTTGAGGGTCCCAAGGGGATCCTGCGGTATCCAAGCATGCTGTAAAGTCCTCACAGGTTGGAGCTGCTGCTGTTGGGGTGCTGCTCTCCCCTTGCCAGGTCAGTGTCTCCTGTCCTTCCCTGTGCATGGACACTCATCCTCTTGTCTGTCCTGCCTTGCCTCCCTGCCCCTGCCCAGGCTGGCCCTGCCTCGGTGTAGGGCTGAGCTATCTCCTTGTTGGGGACCCTCTTGCATTCACCATACATTTCCCACTTGTCTTCCTGCTGGGATAACAGCTTCTTGGTGGCCATCACATCATCCTTCATTAGCTGTCTCTGGGAATGGAAAATCCCATTGAATACTCTACTTTGTGGCAGTGGCAAGGAAAGAGACTATCACCAGGTGCCCAAAGGAGAGTGGGGTAAGAACATCCCCCGGCTCAGCTCCCTTGGGGTTTGCATTCACAACGTGTTCCTGGAGCACCACATTTTGTAGCAAGCTCAGCTCCTTGTGCTGTGCCCTGGATGGAGGAACCGGCCAGGTTCAAGGCCAGGCTGAACAGGGCTTGGAGCATCCTGGTCCCTGCCCGTGGCAGGGGTTGGAACTGGATGAGCTTTAAGGTCCCTTCCAACCCAAAGCAGTCTGAGATCCTGTGAATGTGTTCCTGCAGGTCCTATGGGATTGATTACACTTTTCCCAAAGCTTGGCATCATCTGGGACTGAGCTCGATCAAGGAGGTGCCTGCTGAATTCCCTGGCTCCTGATGCACATAACTGGCTGGGTTAATGAACAGAGAGCATTGGAACAATTCTTCCCGGTGTGCCAGCTCTCAAGCATTTCCAGTAGGGATCAGTCACAGTAAGAGATGATTCCTTTTGCCCTTCATGTTTGTGAGTGCAGGAAGGAAGTCCTTTAAATGAAGGAATTTGCTTTCCCAAGGGCTGGAGGAGACAGTGGCATGAATCACACAGACCACAGCTCAGAGATCACTGGAAAGGCTGGAACTCACGGGAGACTCACCCAATGAGAGGCTAAAAACTGCACCCCAGGGACACTTTGCCTCTGTACCTGGGTACCACAGCGAATACAAATCTCATGGTGGGGACTCACTGATGGCCAAGGAAGAATGAAAACTGGGGTGAATCAGCATTGCAGAGGTTGCATGAGGGTGCTGGGACCATCCTTTGTGTTCTTGCACTGTCCTGGCCATGCTGGTGCACCAACACGGGCAAGGAGAGCTCTCTCCTTCAGCTTCTTATTGTATACATGCACCTCTCATGTATATGTAGTTGTACACAGCCTTGAAGGTAACATATGTAATGGTCACGCTGTAGTGTGCACGCTCCGTGGATTTGGACAACAGAAGCAACATAATACTGAGTAATGTTTGTTAAATTCATCTGTTTAAAACACAGTTTGCATCCTGCTCGCTGGCAGCAGCATCGGGGTGCTGAGGCTGAACAGAAACTGGAAATCTGCTGAATTTCTGCCTGTTTTTCAACTACCACCCAGGCAATGAAGAAAGGCCAAAGGCAGCTCGAGGTTGGTTCAGTAACCCCAGATCTGGGGAACAGGGTGCATCCTCCTGGGGCTTTACAGAGTGCTGAGGGGGGAGAGAAAAGCAAACCCAGCTCCTTGTTTTCCCTCCCAAAGGAGGTTCAAGAGTCAGGCGAAGACAAAACCATTCCAATGGGGAGCAAATCTAAGCAATCCTAACCAAACCTAACCCGACGCAACAGCCTGCACCCACCCCTTGTGTAACACCCTCTGGCTTTAAGTGTCTTATACAAGCCTTTACTCACTCAGTGCTGAGCTGTGCCTGAGCTGGGATTGATGGAGAATCCTGTTTAGGAAAACACCCTGGATGTAGGAAGCACGAAGCAAAGAGACAATTTTACATGGATGTTTCCAAATGCGATGGGCACAAGAATGTGGGGACCATCTCCAGGGGGGCTCCTGGGGTGCTTCAGATCGCTTGGTAGAACAGGGGAGCCTTGAGTCAGCCCTGAGCACATGATCTGGCTGTGGCCGAGGATTACAAGAGCTGTTTTGATCAGGGGAAAATGTCTGTTTTTAGCACAGGCAGCAATTAAAATAGCTCATGGATCTAAACGCCTCGGGGAGCTGTCATAGAGGGAGGTAGAAAATCCATCTCACGCTCTCCTGTGCAGCCAGAGATGAGCCTGGAGGAAGCAGAGGAGAAGACAGCTTGAGGTTCAGCTGGTGATAAAGGACAACCTGAGCCGGGCTCTCGAGATGGCTGAGGAGGATCTCCGGGGTTTGAGCACCCCTTTCTCACTCTCCTTTTCGGGCAGTGGCTTTCTCGCCCTGTACCAGGTTGGGGTGGTTCAGTCCCTCCTGGAGCTGGCTCCCGAACTCCTCAAATCCGCTTGCAAGGTCTATGGATCATCCGCCGGCTCGCTCATCGCCGCGGCCGTGGTGTGCGGCATCGGCCTCGGTAAGACAGTGATTGTCCAGGTTTCCTTGTTATGGGGGGTTTGTTTCAGAATAGAAACAGAGAAGCCTTAAAACAGCAGCAGCACTGGGGACATGACACTGGTGGGACTCATGCCACTCATAAGGCATAAAAGAAACCTGCATATGTGGCCACTTTAGCAGCCACCCTGGAGCAATTTTGGGTGCTGCAAGCTGAAGAATCTGGTTATTACTGTCTGAATGTTATCTGTTTCAGATGGTCAGGCAGATACTGCATCGGTAAATCTGGATGCAACTGCATTTTATTGCCCTGCTCCTGCTGAAGGAGCAGATCTTTTCCTCTGCTATGAGGTCTAAGGAGTGCTGAGACGTGTTCCAAAACAAGTCCACATGGCTGTGGTGGGTGGACATCATAGAGTCATGGACCAGCTTGTATTGGAAGGGACCTTAAAGCTCCTCCAGCTCCAACCCCTGCCACAGGCAGGGACCCCTTCCACTGGAGCAGCTTGCTCCAAGCCCCTGTGTCCAACCTGGCCTTGAGCACTGCCAGGGATGGGGCAGCCACAGCTTCTCTGCACAACCATGTAAAGCCCCTGTGTCCCCTATGGGTCAGGTCCCTCGGCATCCTTAGCTACAAAAGGACACACGTGGTTGTCATACAGGTATCTATAGAGCTGACAGCCTTGTTTGCAAGTTGCTTTGGGTTATCCCACTCAACCTACCCAGCACAAGGGAAGATGAGGCATGATTCCTGTTTCTCTATAGCCAAGCACCTTTCCCCTGGGATAAAGATCAAGGGCTCATCAGCAGGACATTAGATGAGCTCTGAGGCAGAAGCTCTTCCCTGTGAGGGTGCTGAGGCGCTGGCACAGAGAAGCAGAGAGGAAACAACCAGTTCCTGAAACCTCTGCTGGAGCCCAAATGAATCAAAACTTTGGCAAATGTAGTTAGACAAAGCAGAAAAGAACCTTTCTGCATATATGGGGATGAACCCGTCAACAAATCAGCAAGGGCCCCAAAGCTTTCCTCTCTGATTCCTCATCCCGGTGTAATCGGACGGTGCTTGGGTCTCCACCAGCTATGAATCAGTTTGGTAACTGCTCTCTCTGTGGGCACTGGTGCTGAAATGGGGGTCTGCTTCACTGGGGTTGTGGCACCATCTACTTGGAGGTGCTGAGATGATCTTGTGCCCCAGGAGAAGAAGAGACCTTTTGTTCAGTGGTGACTCTGGTTTGGTTTCTAATGAGGAAAGTGAGTGTGGCACAAAGTCTGTCACATTCCCATTGAGAGGATGGCAGGGGAAAGAAGGTTAAAGGTATGTTTGGCTCCTGATGGGGTGTTCCATAGGGTGGCTGTGGTCGTGTGCATCGCAGCCCGAGTAAGCGGCTCTCCGCTCTCCGAGCCAGGCTGTCCTCTGCCACCCCACAGGTCACCTCCTGCTTGTCACCAGCAGGCTGCTGCAGGCAGGGGTGGTCACGGCATTCCACCACGGTCATTTCACCCAGCCTGAGTCAAAGCCCTGCCCAGAGGCAAAGCCCCCAGAGCTGGGGTGAGCTCTCACCTCCTGCCCAGCAGCCTGGGGGCACTTTTCCCAGTTCCTCCCCAGTTCCAGGACGCAGAGCACCAGGCAGTGCCCGGAGGGTGCATCACCAGCTGCGGTGTCTCTGGCTCTTTCAGCACCCTGATGACCGCATGTAAACCCACCGTGCACTAATCATCACCCCACATGGCCTGACCATCCGCTTGGATGTTTATAACCCCTCTTAATGCCTGTGGTGCTCCAGCTGACTTGAGTTCACTCCATCTAATCTGTCTGTGCTTTTAAAGCAGTCTCACGAGACAGCCTGGACACCTTTGCCCCTACAAAGACAAGCCCACGGGTTTGTGCCATGGCCACCCTGGTGCAAGAATGGCTCTTTGCAGCACTGAGGAGCGTGATGAGGTTTCTTCTGCAAGAGTTTAACTGCTCAGCATGGGGCACTCACAGAATCGCAGCCTGGTTTGGGTTGGAAGGGAGCTTAAAGCTCCTCCAGCTCCAACCCCTGCTACAGGCAGGGACCCCTTCCATAGAGCAGCTTGCTCCAAGCCCCTGTGTCCAACCTGGCCTTGAACACTGCCAGGGATGGGGCAGCCACAGCTTCTCTGGGCACCCTGTGCCAGCGCCTCAGCACCCTCACAGGGAAGAGCTTCTGCCTTAGATCCAACCTGAACTTCCCTGTTCCAGTTTTAACCCATCACCCCTTGTCCTATTGCTACAGTTCCCCCAGGTGAGCTCCCCAGGGCCAGGCTGGCCACAGGCTTTGCTGCACCCCTCTTCCCCCCATCATGATGCAGCCTTTCAAACCTGGTGTCTCCTGAGCTCTTGGCCATGGCTCTGCAGCTCTGCTCCTTTAATCCAGCTTCTGGGATGTGCAGACACATGTAATGACTGTTAACACCGGCTGGGAGGTCACCAGTGGTGTGCCCCTCGTCCTCACCTTTGAGTTGCCCCAGCTGCCCATGTGAAGCCCATTGTGGAGCCTGGCACTGCCACGTGGAGGTGGAAGGCAGGAACGTGTTGTGGACCTACCTCTTCCCAGGGCCCTCTGGAGCCTTTCCCTAATCCCTGGCCAGGCTCTTCTTGAGCAACCACCTCTGGTGCAGACGGGGTTTCACCACTGAGGCTGTGCTCAGCAATACATTGCTCTCTGAGGACATAGTCCCCTTTCTCCTCTCCACAATGTCGCCCACTGTAGCAGCAGTATCATGCAAAAAGCTTTATTTGTGGGGAGTGCTAAAAGCAGGATAAAACTCACAACTGTTTGGGCAGCAGATCCTGACTTTCTCTCTACCTTTCCCTCCCACCTCTGTATTAGATGATCTAAAGGAATTTTTCTTTGCCATGGCAAAGGAGGCCAGGGAAACCATCCTGGGCCCCCTCTCTCCCAAGTGCAGCTTGCTGGCAAATATCAAGGCTGTTCTGCAGAGGATGCTACCAGAGAACTCCTACCAACTGGCTTCGGGGCGGCTGCACATCTCCCTCACGCGGGTGGTGGATGGCCAAAACGTCATGGCCTCGGAGTTCAGCTCGAAAGAGGAGCTCATCCAGGTAAAGGGACCTGCCTTGGGTGCTGTAGGAAGATCTCTACCTACTGCTTGGGGTGGAGGTACTTAATCATTGATGACTTTAACTGCAGCTAAGATGGGAAGGTGTCAGGGTGTCATGATCGCACCACAGTGGGCTCCATGAGGCTTGGAGGGAGGGTGGAAGAGGCTGTTAGGGCCAGAAAGCAGGTTTATTCCCAGCCTCAAAAAGCTGCTGCTGTGTTGGCCAGCTCTAGGAAGTGCCAATGACTCTTTGCAGAGCTGTTAATGCTAATATGACCTCTCAGCTTTCGGGACAGGTCTCTCCTCAGGGAAGTCCCATTGGCAGTGATTTTCCTCTCCTTGCCTCAGCACTTCCCTGGGATGAAAAGCTGGAAAAAGTGTCTGTGGTGCCAAAAAGCAGCAGATTAACCAATGAATGAGCTGCGGGGGGAAAGAAACCCAGGGTAAATCCCTAACAGACCAGTAGAGGATGGCAAATCCATGGGTATGTTGGATTTCACCCTCTGGTGCCTGCCCTAGGTCAACCCATGAGCACAGGATGCTTATTCCAAGGTCATGAGATTGGTAAAAAATGGTTGTGAATGGCCCAGCAGTGGCTTTATCATGGACAAATCTCAGCAGAATGAAAATGCCCTGGGAGGATGTCTTGGTACTGTCCAAAACCCCTCAAACATGAAAAATGACCCCAAAGCTTCACCTTGGCACTGTCGAAGGGCACTTTTGGACAGTGATGTATGAATCATACAACTGTAATGCTGCTGGCAGCTCGAAACATGACAAACTGAAGCACTCTGCCCTTCTCAAGAGAGGTGTTTCCCCTTCACTGACACCTTTCTTCTTGACACAGTCAAATGCGAAGCCCAGGTGGCACCGACAGCCAGGTCCAGCCTGGTTTTGCAGGCAACAGCTTTTGTCCAGGACAACTCTGACAGGGCCATTTACCTCTGCAACCCCTCTCATCCCCCAGGCTCTCCTCTGCAGCTGCTTTCTTCCCATCTACTGTGGCTTCATCCCTCCATCGTACCGAGGTGTGGTGAGTGCTATTTCATGTAAAACTTACTGTCCCAGCAGTATGTTCTTGGGTTTATGTTCCCTTGAGCAGAGAGGGGTATCTCAGCCTAGGATGCTGCTTAGTTAACGGAGGATGATAAAGCCTTCTAGCCTGTTCTTCATCCCATCCTAATGATAGCTGGGTGGAATATTAAATGCAGGAGCCTGGCTGCTTGAGCTCAGGACTTGAAATCTATAGGACACTCTAAATTCAGTGATGTTTGAGTTGGCCAACGACTGCCAAAACAACTTTACAAAGCTTTGTGAATCCAAATAACTATTTCTGCTCTAATAATCGCTGTGGATCACAGCATCTGGGCGAGGAGCCACTGGGTGCCATAGGCAGGGCAGCAGAAAGAGCTGGCAGAGGCCAAGGTGAAGAGCAAGGGGTAGGGAGAGATGCAAGTGGGAAGAGAAAGGACATGCTGCGATCGGCTCGGGGCAGGAGGTGTTGCCTCTGCCTGCTTTCCTCTCAGTGACCCTGCCCTCACTCACACACACACCGTAGCAACCCCCAGAGCAAACCCTCCTCTGCTCTTCCCCCTCAGCGATACGTGGATGGAGGATTCACTGGTCTGCAGCCTGTTTCCAGCTTGGAGGAACCTGTGATCACCGTGTCCCCGTTCACAGGAGAGCTCGATATCTGCCCAAGGGATTGTCCTGCCATCTTCTTCTGCTTCCAGATCTTCAATGGCAGCATTCAGATCTCGATAGAAAACCTCTGCAGGATTAGCTATGCTCTCTTTCCACCCAGCACCATGGTAAGCCACCAGCTTTGTCTGGTTAAAACAAACTGATGCTGGACCTGCCTTCCCAAGCTTTAAGTTTCAGCTCCATCTCCATCAGTAATCAATCAGATCTCACATGGAGGGTGCAGTACCTACTGATTTTGCAGTGCATTTATTTGGTGGGCACTGCTGAGGGGTGGCCAACCTGGAATGGGGTCCACCCTGGTTTAATAACCTGCAAAGGACTACAGCTTTGGTTATTGGAAGCCAGCCTGTGCTTGCTGCCTTCCAAATGGGCCACCCCAACCCTCCACAGCTGGGCACATCCTGTCAGTGCCTGGATGGAAAGCTCTTTAGTGACCTCAAGCGTTTCTCCTTGCAGGTCTTGAACGACATCTTCTCCCAAGGGTACCAGGACACTGCCCTTTTCCTGTACAGGAACAGTAAGTGACAGCCAGGACTTAAGGCTGGCCTACACACACAGCACACACACAGACCTCATCCCTCTCTTTTGTGTCCCACAGATGCCTTTGGCTTTAACTACTGCAATGGGAATTTCCACTTTGCCATCTCATGTGGGAAGAATGACTTTGCCCCATCCAAAAGGACGTGCACTGGCCTATGCAAAATGGAAACACAGTGCCCAGCTCCTTGCTTCCTGCCAGGTAGAAGATTTGGGGTGCTCATGCTGGGTTTCGGGGCCTCTGAGGGCTGCTGCAGTCTTTGAGAGGCGCAGTATTACCTTACAGACATTACTGAGTTAGTTACTGTAGGAAATATTCCTGTATCTGCAGTAGCTGCTCTGACAAAGAAGCTTTGTAAGAGCAGCTCGAGCTGGATTCAAGCCTGGGGTTAGTACCTACAGGCTGAGCTGCAGCAAGAGCTGCCCGGCAAGAAGAATTATTGCATTTACTGGGTTATTTCTAATTCCTGGTCTTTATTTACTTCTGTGTTGTCATCCATGGATACAGGCTTGGGTATGTGGAGGAATGAGCAGCTCTCTGGACTTCAGGATCCACTGTCAAAGGTCCTGTTGCAACCTTACAGGCTGCCGGCTTTCTTCAGGAATGGGTAAGAACATCTTGATAGAGGCATTGAAGCTGAAAGTGGTACAGGAACCGGTGGTTGTGGCTTCAGCAGTGCTGAGATAGCTGCAGGGACGCAGTGCATGGTTAGCATGCATTGAAGTGTGCAATGGGCTGCAGTACCTTTCAGCAGCTGGAAACACACGGGGCAGCCTCTGGGGCAGCGTGGGCTGATGGTGAATCCCTTCTTTTCTATGGACCAGGACACAGCTGCTGCATCAACATGCACAGCAGCATCCCCTTACTCCACAGGAGGGTTTGGTATTCCTTGAAGGCAAGCTCTCAGGGGGAGGGGTCTGGCTAACAGGAACACCATAGGATTGCTTGGGTATGAAAAGGAGCATCACAATGTGCGTTTGCCATTAACACCCTCCCCTGTTGGCTGCATCGAGTTGCCATCAAACTCAGCCTGTTTATTTTGGGTTTGCAGGCTGGGGAAGCTGTGGGGCGTGCTGGATGGTATCAGCTCCATGGTAAAGTGGTTCCAGAAGCTCTTCCAAACCATGGTGCCTGGATTGCCCAAGAAAGCCACAGCCAAGAGGTGAGGTGCTCAGGGAATGCAGACCCTCAGCAGGGAGAGCAGGGAAACCCTGGGAGACCTCAGCCATGGGTCACTGATGCTGAGTGTGACTAAAGACTCCAAATCCTGGCTATCCCATATTAAAAGTAGCTATTTCCCCCCTCTGTCTGATATTATTTAGTGATATCTCAAAGGAACTGTAAACCAGCTTAGTGCTGCTTCCCTACAGCAACGTATTCCTGCTCCAAAGCATGTATCTGCTGGGCTCTGTCCTAGCAGGACATCAGGCATGTTCACCAAGAGCCTGAGCCATGTTTTGGCACTAAACTCTCAAGGATTTAAGGTATTTAACTTGCCACACAGATAACTTTAAACCATACCCCCCCAAAACCTGCCTGCAAGTTACTTCACATGCAGCAGGTGAGGAGGCTTGCACAGGATGATTTCACCCAGTGACACAACTCCTCAGCTAGGAAAAAGCCCTTTGGTATCAAACATCCCTGGGACCACTCGTTCCTGTTGGTTCACCCACCAGGACTCAACTAACTGCCAGCTTGTTCCCTTAGGCAGCCAGCCTGGATGGGCCCTGGGGGGCTCTGATGCTGTGGTTCTGCTGCCCTGGGAAGCGGGGGTGACTCCGGAGCTCATTCCGCACAGCAGCTTGGATCGTTACGGAGTTCTGGGGAGTGTGGGGTTGGTTTTCTTTTTCCACTGGGGGAAACTGGCTGATTCCATTCCCAACGCTGCTGCCACAGTCCCCCTGCCCAGGCCTGATCTGCTTTATCATGATGGCTGGAGGACAAGCACCGCAGCGCTGCATCTGCGGCCCAACCACAGCCTGCGCAGGGCAGACCGAGCATCCTCACCTGCATGTGTGTGCAGCCCAGCCACCAGCTTCCCCAGCCACCCCAGCTGCTGCTCACCAGCAGCATCCCTCCCCCTGCTTTCATGCAGATTACAGGACAGGCGTTTGCAGGAAATGTCACATTTCAAGCGTTTTCCTCCCACTCCAAAACTTGCAGAGAAGCAGAAAACAGAGGGAGGGAGACGCCTTAGGGAGCATCACCCTGGGCAGGAACTATTTTTTGCCCAGTTCCCTGAAGTTATTTTACCAATTACCTATTCTTGAGCTTCATACGCCCTTGGAGGTTGGCTTCTCCTGCCAGGGGAGGCAGGCACACATTTGGACCCCTCTGAATGTGCAGCTGTGGAGAAGGATGGAGAAACACCAAGATTAACCTCCCCTTACTTCAAAGTAGCGCAGTCTTGCAGAGTTCATCTCCTGCTGCACCAGGAGAGCTGACATTTCACATATACATTAGTTCTTTTCATGCAACTTTCTGTAATTTGCTGCTACAAACAGTGTGTGGTCCAGGCAAACACACCTCATGTTGCTGGTCTGTATGCAGAATGAATTGGCACCACTCTTCATCATCCCAAATACACTTTGCCCATGAATTGGCATCACTCTTCCTCTCTCCAAATATAGTTTACACATCAGAGGCTGATGGATTGGCTTTATCCCAACTGAATCTTTCTGTTGGTTCCCCATGGGCAATGAGCAGTTCACGCCAGCACAAGCTGTTGATTTGAATGAGCAGCTTGTTTCATTGCACAAAGGGAAGTGAAGCAGGAAAGTTTCATCCAAAGTGCTCTGGAGACTGCAGGTGGGGATGTGGGGAATTGCTGAAGGTTGTGTTGGGGTTAACAGATTCAGAGTTAATGATGAATGCTCAGCAAAAGATTTATACGACATGTTCTGCTATGTCTGACTGAAATCAATGACCTGGGACTATTTGCTCTGCAATGAGCTTGCTAAAAGAAATCTGGATGCTTGTTTTGCATCGGGTCCATCAAAACCTGCTCCTGCCTCCCTTCCTGGAAGTCCTGGCTGGATTTGCCTCTCTCAAGCTCTGCGGGCAAAGTTGGGCTGCTCAAAACCAGGTTGTGAACTGCCACAGATCAAACCAGAGAGGACACAGAGACACCCCCTGCTCCCCGGGCAGGAGAGGGGCCAGGCAGCCCATCATCTGCTTTTGCTCATACTGCAAAATGCTTTTCCTCCCAGGCAGACCCCCTGCTTCTGAAACCACCCCTCTGCCAGGCCCCTGCTCTTCCTAGCGAGCACCCTCACCTCCAGGCAGGACATAACCATTTGAGTCTGCTGCAGGCAGTTCTGCTTATCCCTGTTCAAATCATTAAACCATAGAATGGCTTGGGTTGAAGGGACCTTAAAGCTCCTCCAGCTCCAACCCCTGCCACGGGCAGGGACCCCTTCCATAGAGCAGCTTGCTCCAAGCCCCTGTGTCCAACCTGGCCTTGAACACTGCCAGGGATGGGGCAGCCACAGCTTCTCTGGGCACCCTGTGCCAGTGCCTCAGCACCCTCACAGGGAAGAGCTTCTGCCTAAGAGCTCAGCTCAGTTTCCCCCCTGGCAGGTTAAAGCCATTCCCCTTGGCCTGTCCCTACATCCCTTGTCCCAAGCCCCTCTCCAGGTTTCCTGCAGCCCCTTCAGGCACTGGAGCTGCTCTCAGGTCTCCCCTTCAGGAGCCTTCTCTTGTCCAGGCTGACCCAGCCCAGCTCTCTCAGCCTGAGCCCCACTGGTGTGCAGGCTCTGCTGCAGCAATAACCCTTTGGAGATGTTCTCACGTATTCAGGAAGACTTGTGTGACTTATTCACAGGGTTACACCTTTGATTATTTGGTAACATCAATGATATTCTAGTATTGTGCAGACAAACAGCAAACCAGCCTTTTCCTGGCCTCGATCATCAGGGCTTCTCCTCTGGAGACCAAGAGTCCTGACTTTACCCTTGCTTGCTCTCTGGGCTAACAAAGGAGTCTCAATTCCTTCTGCAGGTGACCTTAGGTTGGTGAAAAACATTGCAGCCAAGCTGCAAACCAACGACTGAGACTTCTGATAACCCAGAGCCTGCCCAGCCTCCAAAGGAACCTGGTTCCTGCTGTGCTGCTTTCAAAAGCTCCATGCGGTTCAGACTGATGAAGCCTTTAAAGCCAAGCATGGGAACAAACCACAGCCTAAGACTGTGCCCTGCATTTCTAGTGTGGGTCTGTTGTCTGTTCTCAATAGAAATATCTTCTTTGTTTTCATTTTATGTATTTCAAGCTTTTATTTCTAGCTCTGGAATGGTACTAGTCCTGTTCTTTCCCCTTGATGTTCCTCATTTGGTGTGGTCCTCCTAGATATAGCACAACAGCATTTGGGTCTTTTTTCACCTTTTGTTTATGTGGCAACATTTTAAAGCATCACCATGTTGGAAAAACTGTTTTCCTAAGTTCACAAATCCAGAAATGCTGGAAGACTCAAAGAGAAAAAGAAAATAAATAATAAAATGGAAAAAAAAGCTGTACTCCTGCACAGGCTGCTCTGCGTTCTCCTAGGAACAACAAGACAAACTGGAATCTGAAATGCTGAGGGTGCACCGGGGTTCCGTTCACAGCTGAAATGGGAGGGGGCATTATTTGGGATTTAAACCTGCCTTATGTTGCTTAAAAATGACACAGGTAGAGTTCACCTGCAACTCACATGAGCTTTTCTTGCTCTTCGGTGTTTACATGTGGCTGCACATCATGTTCCTCAGTAGAAACCCAGCTCTGAGCATTGAGACACTGCTCCTTCCCTCACCCTGAACGAAAGCATGTGTAGGTAGAACCTGTTCCTATCTTACATGGTGAGGAAAAGTCTTTCTTCATAGAAAGAGCTGCTTCTCCGAAGAGCCCTTCTAACCTGGCCACACTCTAAGTCCTCAGTCTACCCAAAACAAGCTCAACATGAGGCTTCACTAATAACCAGTGACCCGAGAGGGGACTCTCTCACATTCCTCATGTTCTCACTGCTGGAGCCTGCAAAACCCCAGCCAGCCTTTTTTGTCAGTGAGAGCCCCGGGCAAGTGTCGTTTAGCTAATGAAAACTGATGGGGTAAAGAAGTGCTGGTCCTCTACCTTTCTGATGGTGGAGAAGGTGGAGGGGGGCTTCCTCTTCCACTTCATCTGCTGCCCCGATGGTCCCTGGGTTCTCTTCTGTGCCATCCTCAGGGTCTGTGGCTCTGGAGTGAAGTACTCTTGTTTCTGGCTTCCAGTGCAAGGTCTCTTCACCTTTCTGACATGATTCATTGGTGAATGGAAGCATGAAGTCCTTGTCAAAGTAATTTATACCGAAGTCATCTGGTGGAAAAAGAACCCAGCTCTTACTGCTTGTTGCTCAACTACCAGATCTCCAGCAATGGAAAGGATTGATCTTTGACCAGGGTGTACTGGAAAACAGGAGGACTAAGGCCCACAGTGCATGGCTAACCTGAGTTGGGTTTCTGGATCAGGAGTCACCAAACATTGCTGCTTTGTGCATCAGTAGGTTATCAGCCTAACATCAAACAGGGCACCTGAGCCTATGCTTCTGTCTAGGTCCTGGGGACCTGCATTCCCTGCAAAGCTCTATCGTGCATAGTGTGGAAGAGAAGAGGGGACCTAACACCGTCAGAGGGGAAGGGGTGAACAGGGAGCTACAGGAGAGGCATCACAGAGGATGGGACTCGAGGGTATCCTGGCAATG